TCGTCCATCCATATGCGAAAATCCTCGTCCCGAAGTCGACTCGTCTGCTGATGTTCTCGATACAAATGGGGAAATAGAAAGTAGAGGGAAACATCCTCGAAGCCCACTAGACGACCGAAAGTGTAGTGCGGAATTTGGTGAACCGGACGGCGCACTTGATGCAGGTGACCCGCATCGTCAAAATAGAATACGGGACGTAGATCGAGATGAAGACTCGATCGAAGGTCGGAAATCGGCATTTGAGTCGGATGCCATCGAATACCCGCTTTAGCCACCGCGAGATTACTCGGAAACCCCGTGACACTATCGATGTCGAAATGAACCCCGGCCGAGCCCGATACCCGTTCATCCGCTTCGAGACATAAATGGGGCGGTGGCTCACTGGAAGTTCGACCGGAGAATATCTCTCGTCGTGTTTCCGCATCGACCTGATGGGCCAGATCATCCTGACGTGTCGCAATACGTGCCGTCCCGAGGATATCGGGACATCGATTCGTTATCGAGTCGAGATACTGAGCGAGGCTCACATGCTGTTCGAATTGTGCACGGTGCTCCTCCTCTTTTAGAGTATGGCAATGAGCACAACAACCTCGACATTCAATGAGGTCATCTGTCAATCGACGAGCTATATGTTCAACTCGATCGAGATCTCCCCCGCTTTCACGTGCCGACTCAATCACGATAGTTTCATGATCGAGAATGGAACCAACAGGAGAAGGGAGTGGCGAGGAAGTCGATCGAGTTATATCGTGATATAGGGTGCCGGTTTCTTCGAGTACGGGAGTCGGAGGCGGAAGGTGCGACGAGAGTTCTAGGTCGTCATGAAGTTCGCAGTCGTTCTCAGGTACAGGGGGAAGACTGGTCGAGGGCAAAAGCGTCGTAGTGGTAAAAGGATGTTCATGACCGAGCGTCGATGGAAGTGACCACGGTCGAGACGGAATTTCTTGATGGTCGACTTGATGATTCTGTCGTGTACGTCGTTCCGCAGCTTGTCGTTGTCGTTTTTCCCGTTTCCGCCGTACGTCGGCTTGAGCCTTCTCTTCTTTGCTATTATATTTCGACGGTCTACCTCTCTTTTTGGAAGTCGATTGCTCCGGCATCGTGAAAGCTGCGCTTCAAAGTCATAACGAGATACCCCCTAATTACATAAAATGGGAAATTGGTAAACATGGTACTAGTTCCCAATATAGTTTAGTTCTGACCGTAAATTCCTAAATCGGCTAGCTGACCGCTAAATTCTCGAAACGGTTAGTGTGACCGCGAAATTTAACGGGGCAGGTTTGCCGAGCGACGACGACGACAATGTCGACCATTTCTCGACGTCACGGAGAAGAATATCGTGGAGAGCGATCGTTAAGATTAATACTATACGTATAATGAAGACATCGAACAAATATCTAATCGAAAAGTTCTATATTTGCCTTAGTAAGTCTAGTCGAAATTCCCTCTATGGCGATCCCCCAACTCCACCGGCAGAAAGCGGACGTTATCATGAGATCCGTTCCAGTGCCCTTGACTCTTGTGGTGATTGACGTACACCATCACGCGACCGTGCTGGACGTAGATGCTCCGCGGCCGCTCCGTATTACGCCAGGTCATGGCCAGCACGTCTCGCGCTCGAAGCGGCGGTCCACTGAGGTGAAACGCCGCAAAGCATCGTTGCAGAAAGTCCTGCATCGCCGCCGCGTAGAGCCCGATGGCCTCCGGTCGAAAGCGGATCGAGTCCGAATGTCGCTCGAGATATGTTTGGTGGAGGAGGGGGGTGCGGACCGTGTGCTGCAAGAGCGCCTCGCGATGACCCTGAAGAACCCGCTCGTTGCGTCGATCCTGCGCGAACCACCAATGTACCTCGCGTCGATGCGCTTCGTCCGCCAGATGCGTCGCCGACATCCGCACCAGATGGTCCGCCCCTAGCAGCAGGTCCCGCTCCAAGATCTGTCGAGCCTCCGTCACCGCCTGTCGATGCACCTGCCCGACTTGGGTCATGGATATGGTCGTCCCTTGATAGCATACCTCTTGATTATCGAGACTCCAGGTGGCCAACCGCGGCGCCACGTCTCGCCGTCCCACCTCGAAGAGCATGAGTCGCCAGTTCAAGATGAGACCGAAGGGCGTACTGCGCTCTTGACGAAGCCATTGCTGACACAGTCGAGACAACTCCTCGTCCGGATCGAGCTGGGGATCCTCGTCGACCCGTTGACAGACGAGCCGAAAGATCCAGAGTTGACCGCAGTAGATCAAGGCCGACAGATGATGATTGAAGTCGCTCGCCGAGTGCCAGTCGTCCGTGTAGGCGCGCGGCGTCAGGGTCGCACAGAAGGCGAGCAACGCCGACTCGAATCGATATCCGAATAAACGGTGACAAATGAGCGCCATATTCAGAGCCGCGACGTGCTCGCGAAGACTCGTTTCATCCTCTCTCTTCTGCTGAACGGCGTCGACGCACGCGTGAAGATGACGTCGTTGTTCGTCCGTGCATCGAAAAAATTCTCGATCGATCATCTCTTTTTTCTTCCCCTCCTCCTCAATACAGCGGGTGGGCCAACCTTCGAGAATTTCCGTTCGCCACAAAAAGGTGATCGCCCCTTGCCAGGTCGCGATATATTGATTCTTGGTCGCGGCTTCGATTCCCGGTCGAAAGCCCTTCGTTCGCACGTGGGCCCCCGTCCAAAATTACCCCAGCATCACCGCCATCGGTCGAGTCAGTCGACAACCCGGCCCGTTTACACACCATCGCCACGTCTCGTTCAGCAGATCGGCCACCACCTGTCGAATTTGATTCAGACCCGCCTCGCTCGTCGTCGTCGTTATCGTCGTCGCCTCGGTCGACGGTTTTTTCGACAGAGCACGAAGCTCCGTCTTCCGACACCCTTGAAGGTGACGAGCAAAGCCGCATGACTGCACCCAGAGAGGAACATCCGCCGGGTGACCCTGCGATCCCACCACGAGATCGGCCTGTTGACGTTCGACGGCGATGATCTCTTGATGGATTTGACGTTGTCGAGTGAGAAAGGCATGTGACGACGACGACGACGATTCGGGGGAAATCGAGAGCCTCGTTTCTTCGTCCACTCGCGGCGTCACGCGAAAGTATCGAACGAGACGGGCCGGTCGGAAAATGGTTTGTAACCAACAGGTCTCGTATCGATCGTCGAGCGGTCCTTCGCCAAAGGGGGCGGGCCCGTGCCGGCTCGTCACGTGACGTCGAGTGCGCTCTTCGCTGACGCTCAGTCCGTCGTCGCAGTGAAGACAGCGATATCCTCGATACACGCGAAGATGCGGAATCGCGGGGATCGGCTGTTCGGAAGGCGGCGGATGTCGAACCTGCCTCGTCGGCGTTAATTCTAGACGATCGAGATAGGCACAGGTCGCCTTGAACGCCTCTCCCTTGAGATGATGAGGAGACTCGCGAAGATGATTCTTGAAGGGAATCTTGCCGTCAGGCACCATACCGGTCTGACAACGAATACAAATCGCCACTCCTCGTTCGGGATCGTGATAGAAATTCATGATATTCGATGATATAAATAGATGACGTACGTAAATTTAAATCACGAGCTGTCGTGAAAAAAGAGAGAGAGCGATGAAGAGGTCGACGCTTCTCTCTTTTGTTATTGTTGTTGTTTAATTAAACGCGACCCCCCTCCTCCTTTTCCCCTTCGAATACTTAAAAACCCGTTCACTATACCTCTTTTTTTTTTTCGGATCGCTTCGTTTCGATTCGATCGACAGGAGAATTCTCCATTTCGGGCCTCGTCCATCTCGATAGCGTCGATTTCTGGAAGAATCCGCCTCCCCCCGCGCCCCCCCGCCTCCCGCTAAACTCGATCTGGAAAGGTGTGGTCGGGTTTCTGGCAGAATCCGCCCCGATACTAGTAGTAACACTCGACATACTTCGTAATCGAGCGTGAACGACAAGCCTCGACGTCGACATAATTCATATATTGAATCCGATGGGTCGTGGTGTTTCATCGGATCCAGTTATGAGATGATTGCTTATTTATACGGTGGAGATAAAAATATAAATAGACCCTATCCGGTACTCGTGAAATTCAAGTGGCACAAAAAGTTTAAAAATCCGGCTCAATAACAAAATACTCCCCGGACTTGGTAAATAACTTTTGTAGTCGAACACGGGAATGACAGTTTCGCTCATATTGCTTCCGTTTACTGTCGACACCGTGAGTCTTACTACCGTGCCGGAGTATAATTTGTTCGGTGATGGTACGAAAGAAGCAATCGGTCATATTATATCGAAAGCCGCTATATTCGAGTAACCCCGATATGGGACGAATCCCATCGGGAGAAATACGTGCCATTCACGACTGACCTGTCGAAACTCCGTTCGTCGAGCTTCGACGAATCTCGACGCTTCTTCGAATCCTCGAGCGTAAATGGTGCCCGCGGTCCACTCCCTTCTCCTCCAGCCCATAATCTAGTCGCTTGGCTGACTTGAATAACTGAGAACACTGGTCGTAACCGACCGTGTATGATATGCATCGACGTCGACATGATCCATGCTCGTGGCATTTCATCCCATCCAATCTGTGGACCACCTAGACAAAGCCTTACTCATGGACGAGCCTCGAAGATCAACGCCATCGGATCCAGTCCCTGTATCGTCGAGATCGGTTATAATATCGAATTCATGAACACTAACTAGGATGGGAATGATGTCCCACTATTTAACCTGACGGAGTCGATGATTGAACTCCTTCTCGAGATATTCACCCGGCCTTCGCCAACGCACCGTATCTTCTGGTCGATACCTTTCTCGTCGTTTTTCCCATTCTTTTTCTTCTCGCTCCATCAATTCACGCATACGTGCTTCCATTCGCTTCACCACTTGACCTTGTCGTCGTCGTCGAGCTTCAAGACTGTCTTCGTCCGATGTTATATCGTCCGACCGGGAAGACAAATCCGACTCCGAATCGGAGTGAAAATCTCGTCTTTTCTTCCCTCTTCTTCGACGTCGATCTTGTCGCTGATGTTGTAGGATTTCATACTTTTCCAGCTCTTGACGAAGAAAAATACTACATTCGCCAGCGGTTCGACACTTCTCAAATGGTTTCACCACCCATTCTCGCCTTCGAGAGCACCATTCCGTCCTCGGTCCGATGTAATTCTGAGATCGACAATTGAATTCCAGAATAGGCATCACCGCGATGTCGCTTCGTGATGATGACCTCTCCCCCTCCGCCACCCATTGCTCTCGTAAACGAACCAGCTCCTGATAGAGCTCGCTTTCGGAGAGATGAAGAAGACGTTGTTCCGGTTGCACCACATAAGGCATGTACTTACCGTCCCATGATTGGGGGGCCAGTCGCCAACCCTCACCGGGGTGATGCTTAATATACGATGTCGGTAATGGGTTCGGAAGAGGAGTGTGAGATGAAAATTGCCTGTAGTATGTATGCAGTCCGGCATGATAACTCGGCCACCACACAAAGTCTTTGGTATCTTTATCTTTCCGCATAAATCCGTTCTTTTGAGGATATGGCATCATCCAGTGACTCCGAATGAATGACTTTTTGAGCTCCTGTCGCCACGTTCGAGCACGAGCTTGACCTCGAGCCGTCGTCACGGCGTAATAGCTTTGTCGAAAGAGCATCCGATATGGCTTGTCGTCCCATCCTTGACGTTCGAATTGACCATCCTTCCACTCCCACAGCCATGAAAACAAAACATCAATGCTCTTCACCGCGAGTCGATGACCATGCGCGAGCGAGGGCGGTCGGAACTTCTTCTGGAGGGCCTTTTCGACGCTGGCATAACAGAGCGGGATCTCGCCGGCCAATGCCGCCGGAGCGCTCTCCGGATCAAGGATCGATTTGATGTGACTAAAGACATCCTTTCGAAACACATATAAGCAGAGCTGGCGGAGAAACTTTTCGAGCACGTCCAGGCACGGCGAGACCGCGCTGAACTCGATCATCCACTGTCGAGCGTGGTCCATCCGAATAAAGTCCAGGCGCACGTCGCGGACTTGGCCGTAGCGGGCATGATACGCCGCCTGCATCGATGGGTTGTTGAACATCATATGAGCCGCATGAGGGGGTCGAAAGGTCAACGTCACCCAGTCAATTTTGTCGAGAAACCACCCATAGCCAAATTCTTCCATGGTTCGTCGAAATCCCAACCCCTCCACCCGTTGAAGACCGTCCGCCTGTCGGGAGTCCGGTCGAAATCGCACGTCGTGCCAACATCCACCCACTTTCTGAATCAGCCCGCTCGGACACGAGAATTGAAGGCATCGGAGAAAGGCGAGCATTATACGCGTATGCTCCCATGTGACGAAATGGGCATCTTGAAAGCTATGCACCATTTCGAACCCGACACAAAACTTGTTGATGTTCCATCGAAGCCAGCGAATCAGAGTCGCCGTCGTGAAGCGGTAGTAGGGAGCGTGAACGCCGGACGAGCACGTCAAGAGTCGATGATGTTGCGGTCGAAGACGAAACTGTCGATCAATGGCCTCGAAAAGTTCTCGAGAAACTCGATACTCCGTCCGAACTCCGAACGACTTCCGGACGGACCCGCGTAACCCGAAGTGACAACGAATCTTGGGCCGGACCCTGCTGGATCCATAATTTCCAATTCTCCAAACAATATCGCTTCCAGAGAAGAGTCTCAGAGTGGTCTCGATGATCGTCCAATTCGGCTTGCGTATCGAGCACGCGTATCGATGAAGCCACACGAGAAGCTTAAGTAGAACATATTTCCGTGGCCATATCAAAATAAAAGTTCGACGTGACGTACTCCTCATTCACCGCACCGAACCAATACTGAGAGAATCGCGTCATCATTCGCTCCCACGTCGTATCCTTGGTCAAAACTTTCAAATTTTTCGCTTGTAACAGAATCGTGACATCACGAAACTGTCGAAATGCCGGCCGTTGAACCGCGATCAAGATCGACTCCCAGACTCGAGGCAATTGTTCCGGAGGAAGATAAGACATGAGTTGCTGTTCTCGCGATATCGGATCGATTCGTTGACCACGAGTCTCCACGCCGCGAGCCGTCGCGTTATATCGACTGTGATCGTAGCTCGACGGGTAGTGTTGGACATGGGAACTGCTGTAATACTCGTAAATAATCGGAAGCAAGATATCGTCCATCCATATGCGAAAGTCCTCGTCTCGGAGTCGACTCGTCTGCTGATGTTCTCGATACAAATGGGGAAATAGAAAGTAGAGGGAAACATCTTCGAAGCCCACTAGACGACCGAAAGTGTAGTGCGGAATTTGGTGAACCGGACTTGAAGCTCCATTTATAGACACACGAATGCTATATTATTGCACAGAGCAACTATCTGTAACATCGTCTCAATGTTTCTATGGTGGGATATACACACAACACCCCTGTCCAACACAAGGTCTCATTGAACGCCTGA